CCTATATGACATTCTGTTATAGAAGTATTTTGATCTTTCATTGTTGAATATTTTATTGTTCTCCATTTTTATAAATAACAGGGGAATACCTTTTTTTGAAAGATTCTTGTTTATAATCTGATGATTTCATCTATTCAGCAAATATTTACTGAGTAATGTATTTTTCTGAGGATAGACTTGGGTGAAATTATATGAATATTTTAAAGTCTTTTGCTATAGTGTTGCCAATTATTTTTCAGAGATTTTATCACTTTATACTTCAACTCCCATTATGTGACAGTAACTGTTCTCAAAGCACTCTTATCAGTAATGAAAATTGTTTTAAATCAGTTAATTTAGTTGGAGGAGAAACTGCATCTTATTTTAGTTTTTTACTTCTTTGAAAATATTTTATGTGTTTTTTGAACATTTATATCTGCTTATTAAGAATATTCTTTGGCCTATTCATAGCAATTATTTTATCTTTTTATTTGGTGGGATTGTTTGTTTACGGCTAGTAGTCAAGTCTATTGTTCTCCTTTGTGATTGCTTGAGAAGAGCTTATGATTTCATAAGATAAAACAGGTGTTTCTAGGAAGGCTGTGTATCAGAGGGAAAGGAGAAAGTAAGGTTGACCCAGGGCACTGTATCCAGCTTGTGGCCTTTAGGCCCAGGATGTTCACAATGGTTCACTGTAGCTTTGTAACATTTCTTGGCACAGCTCTGAGCTGCCTCCACTTTAGGAAGCAGGAAGAATAATTGTTTCCTTTATTATGCTTCTAAGCCAACTGCATTATGGGGATTGACCTAATGTTGAGCTTCAGCAGAGGTGGGTGGGACTTGGCAGGGCTGTTTCATAGCCTCTCTTCAAAATCACAGATCCTCTCAAATGGCTCTGCCTGATGGGGCCACGTGCCAAGGCTCGTCTGCTTGCCTCTTGCAGTGACAGTTCTTTTTGGTCCATAATGTAAATATCATGGCCCTGAAATCCCCCAGCTGTCCGTGCTTTGTCATTTCTTCAAAGGGAACTGACTTGTTTTCCAATGGAAGAGGAACATTTGCTGCCCACACTAGTTTGAAGCATTAAAAGGGGAGAAAAAGAGCTAAGAGTAAGTGTTGTTTCATTCTTCGCATTCACATGGAAATTTTTAAATCTCCATCAAAGGATCAGAAGAAAAATCACATTGAAATTCAACACAAGAGCTCATAGCTTAACACAGAATTTTTCAAAGATATTTGACTTGATCCTTTAAAAATTACAAAAACCGTGAACTGTATAGCTCCAGGGTTCATAATTTTCCTTATCCTCCTCAGCCTCTGCCTCTGTCTTGCCTTCCTACCTACACTCCATCTGTGTGGTCCTGTGTCAGCATGCAGAGCTTCTTTGAATGGGGGCTGGGAGAGGTGGTGGGAAGTATTCAGCAAGTCGGGTTTATAGAGCTGCCCATACTTTAATCCCTCTCTCAGGCCTCATTATCTCATCTCTCAGAATATTGTAACTGGTCTCCCTTTCTTCAGTTTCCTTATTCCAGGCTTTCTTCCACACTGCTACCAGAATTACCTTACTAAGAGAGAAAACTGATCAGGTCACTTTCTTACTTAAAAACTACCACTGTCGGCTGGGCGCGGTGGCTCAAGCCTGTAATCCCAGCACTTTGGGAGGCCAAGACGGGCGGATCACAAGGTCAGGAGATCGAGACCATCCTGGCTAACACTGTGAAACCCCATCTCTACCAAAAATACAAAAAACTAGCCGGGCGAGG